CCCCCCCCCATACACACACACGCACGCATGCATGCAGAGTTTGGCTGTGGTTCACTTTTGGCGCTCTGTGCGTGCAGCGTGCGCCTATCTCACGCACGGTAGGCTATACATTGCGACAAGGCTGGAGTTGGCTTTTGCGAAGGTTTATCTTCGTCTGTGCGAGAGGCCGTGTAGACTTTGTAGCCAAAGTGCACCCGCCCGTTGAAGGCAACGTGGCACTCTTCGTGCGCTCGCTCCTGTGCACAAAATGGATTCAAACCCCTCAAACTGCTTGTACAGTAACCTTGGCCTCACCGGGAATAACATTTAAAAAACGAGGAAATGTTATTATAGAATCCTGTGTGTGTGTATAGATATATAAACAAATTCAAAAACATCTAATTAAATTAATTTGGCTCAACAAGTAAAGTGCCCCTTGGTTTAGTGTTTTTTTCCCTCATAATAGTTTCCATGTATGATTAATGAACTTCATTAGCCCATACAGGCCTATTTGTCCTGAAAGCATATGAATTGATTCTTGGGACACAGTGGATTAAAATCAACAAATGGATTAAACTATTACAACATACAATTAACCATAAATGAATGTCATTATCATATCCAGCATTAATACCACAAGCATGTCACATCGTAAGCGACATCTTTATTAGACGGAGTAGCCTGTCGGGTAGAAGAAGAGGAGCACACTGTGATTATCACGTCATCAGGGTGGATCTGTACAGCCTTCATGGAAAAGGATGAATACATTCTTGTTATTAGCCTATACTGTCAATAAAAGCAGTTATTCAGTGCAGCCGTGCTTTAAAGCTGCTGCAGACTAATCTATTTTCCCTTGTTCTGAGATGGTGTGAGCCATCATACCCCCCCCCCCCCCCCCCCCCCCTTTCTTTCTTTCTCCAAACACACACACACACACACACTGGTGAGGTCACAGGTTAGGGGTCTCCAAAAGGTCAAATATCCACATAGGATGCAACATTACTTAGAGCACAGTGAGTGATCTTTTCTCAGTTTCCGAGCTAAACTGGGATTAAGATCGGAAACTAAAACCAGGAAATTGTTTGTAGGCTATAAATGGTGCAAATAATGGGTGAATGGGAATATAAGAAGTTTGAAAGTGTTCTTGAATTCAGACCAGAGAACACTGTTTCTGTCAGAGACGATCAGGAATCTTTTCATGTAAAAAAGGCCGATTACCTGTTTGTAAATGATGAATGAAGGAAAGTTTAAGTTCCAAATGTAAAGTTTTCCTGGCTGAGTATGATGGAGTCTCATGATTCTCTTTTTCCACCAAACTCGGCACGTATAGCATGTTTTTGAAAGACGAGAAAACCTGTAAAATCTGGTGATGGACTCCTTTCACATCGTGAGGACACCGGGTTGTTGCACTGACCTTTCTGGTGTGTCACATTCGATGGAACAGAGTTTTATTTACTTTCTGTCCAGTGTGATAAGCAAGGTCAAATCGCTTATTTTGTCAGTGGAGACTGGTAGCTTCAGGTAAATCATACCACGGATGTTTCTTTTTCATATCCAACTCGGTGAATGAAGGCTGTATGTTGACCAAAGCGGAGTTGCAGATTGTTGGAACGGCAGAAAGAGCTAACCGAGACGGTTCTGATGAGTTTTATTTAGTTTTTGTTGAGTTAGAATGAAATGTGTTCTGATGATCGTCCATGTAAAAAGGACTCCGTCAACTAATCACTGCAGCTCAGCTATAGGTTGATTTAGAACAGTGCATCACGCCTTTCTGGAAAACATCCATCTGTAAAGTAAGTTATGAAATGTATTGGAATGAAAAGTTTAATATTTCCCTCAGAGATGTAGTGGAAGTAGAAGGTAGCATGAAAACATAGCTCGATGGCGGTGTTTAGGAAGCGTACAAAAAGGTGTGTAGAGGAAGAATATAAGAGCCTGTCAACAGTCTTCCTCCGTGTGTGTGTGTGTGTGTGTGTGTGTGTGTGTGTTTCGGGGGAGGGGTGGATAGGTCAAAGGGCTGCGGAGAAACCGGGTGGTGAATCGGGCGGGAATGCAGAAGGAGGAGACGAACCCTCCTGGGGTAATGCAAATGGCCTGTTGATGGTCCATCTCTTCTTCTACTCTGTCTTCTCTCGTCCTCCTCTTGAGATTACTGCATGGGATGGAGTACTGTACATTATAATATACGCTGCGGTAGTTCAAGATACTTGAATATGACTTTGTTGTCTCTGTGGAATGTCGTATGATGAGGTAATAATGCTTTTCTCTCGACTCTGAGAAATATGATCACCCTCCAGCGCTCGACAGCTAGGGTTTTACAGGTTGCCATCGGCAACCATTTTGAGAAATTGGCAACGTATAAAAAAATAAAAAAATCGTTGCAGCCAAACATGCACCCCAGAATAAATACTGTAGAAAATGTTGTTGCATTAGTGGTATTTAAAAACTGTAACTAGACAACGCTACACACGCATCTTTCTTTGGGGGACAAAGTCTCGGGAGGCGAAGTATTCGACCACAACAGACGGAAAATTATACCACAAAGCGTGTGCAACTTGTACATATTTTTCATTATTAAGCTGACGTAAGCCTGCATAGTATCTTAATTACTAAAGGTTAGAAGAAAAATGGTAACCATATTTTCAGTTTCAGCAATCAAAAGCGGTTGCCTAAAACTTGATGTGAGGGTCTGTATGCGGCAGAGGATGTCGCATACAGATTGTAAAGCCCTCCGAGGCAAATTTGTGATTTTGGGCTATAGAAAATAAATTGAATTGAGAATTAAAGTTGTCAGTGAGCCCCTCCTCTACTCTGTGGGGCTACAAAGCAACAGAACTGCCCCAACAACAACAAAAAACTAGTTCCCACTGTTACCATATGAGAGCGTTCACAGCGCTTCCAGCTCAGTGGACAGCCTCTCTGTCACAGAGACAATAAGCACTGGCCACTATTTTGTAAACCCAGCGAGATCTTTAAGATGGAATCCCACTCCAGAATCCTGTCTGTTTACCTGCCAGAGGGGCCGGGACAGCGTGGACGTCAGCCGCCAGCTGAGCAACACCATCAATTCACACGTTCATTTCTGAGAGAGGAAATGTAGTGCATGTCGTCATTTAAACATTTACATAAAGACTGCGCTTGAGAGTGTAAATCTGCGTTTTCCTTATTATCAGCTGACCTCAGAGCCTGATACCTCTTCGTCCTCCGGGCCATACAGCTCCATTAGAAACACACCAGTGAGCCTCACGTGTTGCACATATTCCTTTATTACCACCAACACAAACTGGAGTTTATTTTGACTCAATCACAAATGAACAAATACTCACGGGAGCACCAAATGTGGATAAATCCGCCGCTGAAAATAGTCCCCAACAAATGCACCCCCCCCCACAGCGACCACTGGTTAGAAATAACAAAGCCTTTTCAAATAATGGAACTATAAACTTGTGAAAGATTTACATCTTCAGTGTGAGCCAATGAGCTGAGAGCAGGAACAGGAAGTCAGGGAGTATCGGGATATACGGACTAACACATGAGATTTCATGAGATTTGTTAACAAAAAGGAAAAAATCCAGAGTAACACCAACCTTATCCTTTTCATTTTAAAGTCCCTGACAAATGAGCAATATGAGGCAGAAGTCACAGCAGTCTGTCAGTTGGTGGAGAATTATCTTGAGCTGATGGTGTCCAAAGTGTTCAGATTTCCCCTCTGTTGCA